AGTCAGCCACAGTGCCAGGTAACGTGTCCACATGAGATGCACCACCAGTAATCCCAGAGGGGTTGCTTCCAGCTCCCACAGGCAAAACTGATGTCCTGTGTTGCCTTCTGTGTGCACGTTACAGTAGGAAACCAAAGTGGATTATCCCCAAACTTAAAGCACTACCTTTCTGAGCAAAAGATTCAGGTGATAAGTTACCTGACATGCTGTTTCCTGGTACAAGAGTCAGACTGCTGAATCTTAGGTGGGATCAGTGGCCAATCCCATTTTGCATTAAGCTCTCATAGCAGACACAGAGCCAGAAGCCTTGTGCTGCCTCAGAATCAGAAGCAGCTGAGCCTCTCTCCCCCTCTCACAATATTGTTCATATTGGCCCAATTTACTGACAAAAAAAAATGCAGTGAGGCTATTTCCATTGAAAAAATTGCATTTCAACCAGTTTTTGCTGGACAGCCAATTTCTTCTAGTTGACCATTGAACTACAGGCTGTGTTCCCACCTTCTGCTGCCATAATATCCCTGCCCGAATCGTGGAATAAAGACTCCTCTAAAAAGCCACAGGCTCTTCATGGTCTTGAGAAAAACAACACAGCTTCAACCACTGTCAGTTCTAGCCCACCACAGCAAGTCCAAGATCAGTGTTCCTGAGAACCTCCCAGACTGAGGCTGCACATTGTTCCTGCAGCACTTGTTTCCCCAGCATCCAGGAGGAAGGAACATGCTGATCCCTCCAGCAGCCATTCTCACTCCTGGGTCTACAGCCAGCATTCTTGTTAACTTTTTTGTTGTTCAAAGACCTGGTCATCAAGCTCAGCCATCCAGGAATGATTTCTTTTCTGTGCCATTGTTAATGGATAACTGTCATGGTAGTTAAAAAGGTGTATGTGGTGTGAGTCAGCCAGAGAAGGTAACACACATGGTGGACCTGGAAGCTCTTCCTTGTTCCTTTCTGCCCATCTTCTGAGGAGTCTGGGTTTGGTTAGCCAAATATCAGGTGATGCTTCCAGAAACAAGGTGGGCTTGTCCTAGAAGACAGGAGTTCATTGCTCCACTTGCTGCTAGTGAGGAAGGCTCAGAGCTGGCAGACAGTGAAGACAGCAACACGAAGTCCAAGAAGGTGAATGGAGCTGAGTGGAGAAATGGAGAGCCACTATGCCTCACTATCCATTTGGACTATAAAATCTGCTTAAAAATGTCATTTACTGTTACACCTCTGAAATATCATGAGTTTTGTACCAGACCTGCTCCTAGAGCCAGCATCTTGAAAGTATCTGATGATTTTTAACCAAGTAGAGGCTGAGCATGCATGTAGGGAGCACATAGAACAGAGATGCTGCAATGATCTCAGAAAATTATAAACTTAAATGCAGTTCAGATCCTCAAACTAATGAAGAGATGCCTATATAGGCTTCTAGACAACTCAGCTTAGAAAGAAATTTTTAAAAATTTTCAATTACTTGCAGTGCAGAGTCTTGTTATCCAATTACACAAAGCATTAAGCATCTCATCATAATTAAAACATTTTTGACATTTATCTCGTATAGATTTTTTTCTATGTTTAACCCTAAGTCTTTTTGCTTTATGTTAATTCTCCTGGGAGTAATTACTAAATTTCCACAGCAGTAATTTGGGCAGCATAAGAGCATGTAAACTCAGCCTCACTCCCTCCATCATCATCAAGGTTTTGCCTAGAAATGTACTTTTTCCCCTTCATATTATTTAAAATATGACACATGATCAATAACATGAAACTGCAGAAAACTCTCTCATATGATAATTCTATTGACTTTAAAAAGAAATAATTAAACTAACTGTTAAGAGCAAGTTCATCAATATGATCTGACTTCTTTGTTCCTCCCTCTCTCTCTCGAGTAGGGCAAATCAGTCGGGGTCTCCTGGTGAGCATAACCAGTTTCCTGGAGCTATTGCACTGCTCTAACAAACAATTCTATACCCTGTTGTTCTCTCCTTGCTCTCGCATCCACCTGCACACACCCCCACAGCTCCAAATCACACCCTTCTCCTGAATCTTGCCTTGTACATTCCCCAAAACCTCCATTCTCTTCCACGTGCTTCCTCAGTTTGCTTCTTCCTACACCACCCATTTTCTCTGCAAAATAATGAATGCAATTTCAGGAAAGATATGTTCTATTTTTCACAGTTAACAGAGATAAAATGCCAGCTGCTGTTAAATGCCAAATTTCTTCTCCCTTTTGATGACAGAAACGTATCTGCAGATGAGCACCTCTGCTCAGATGGTTCTTTAACAACAGGAATTCACTGCTAGCTAGTTCTCTGCAGGGCAAAGCAGGCCCCTGGTAGGAGATGAAATGGGAAAGCCAAGAAAACCAGGAAAACCTCCATTTCTCTTTACCTTCCAGTGATCCCCTCACCGAGCAGCTGGCAACTTGTGCTGCTGCCAAGAGCTGCTCCTGCACCCAAGTGGTTGGAGAGAGGAACCTCATCTGTGGCAGAGACAGAGCAGAAAACCAGCAGCGTGGATGGAGGTATGCCACGGGGGTGTGCACCAGGAAAAGGGATGCTCTAGGGTTTGACAAAGGTCGTGGAGTTGGTACCTGTAGGTCCCAGGTGATGCTCCCATTATCCATTGCTGCAGCAAGTGAGAAAAAGCCTTCAAAAATGTAGGTTGGTAAGACTCAAATTTAATATATTTTGCAAAATGCACTCTTTTTTACATGGAAAACCAGATTCAAAGCATTAACAACAGGCTGAATGCTGGAAGCAGGGTGGGGCACAGCAGCCCCAGCACATCCACTACTCCCCACGCAGCAGAGTCACAAACACTTGATAGAACCATTTATCCCCAACATTCCTGAGGTCTATCAGTGTTCACAAGCTGCAAGGTTTTCCTGAGGGGGGTAGGAATTAATGTGTGCCTACACCTGACAATGTTATTTCAAGTCCAAGATAGATAAATTATCTATATCCTATCTCCCTGAAAGATAAAGCTTTCTGGAGGTGCTTATATCTATTCAACAGCCACACAACTCAATGGCCTGAGAAATGACTTCTACAAAGAGTTTTATTTTAAAAATAATGTATTTCAAAGGCTTATTTACAGGAAGTCAAGTCATTAACTCTGTCAAGTGCATGGGCAGACATGCAGATCAGCACACACATAGCTCTCAGCTTGGTGGTGTCTGAAGCTGCTACCATAGTTCCAGAATCCAAGATTTGTCCCAGCTGACACGGCTGGAACAGGTGTAATTGGAACCACAAACCTGTTAAAGAGCAGAAGGATCCATCAGTTGTGTCTCCACACTTCACAAGCCTTCCTTCTAATCATTTACACTTTTATCCCTGTAACACATCAGCATCTAACAAAGGCTTCTAGCAAAGTTTAGCAGATTCTCTTAAATAGGTGAAACCTGATACACTAAATTGTGTAAAAACGTTTACCTTTTGTCCTGGTTAAACCATACAGTTATGGGATGTCCTGGCTGCCTTTCAAGTGTCAAATTTAAACCCCAGTGCATGCTGCCAGCTCCCATTAAGAGCAATGAGAGATGCAAGACATTGTCCATTTGGCCTTCACTAAGTGAAATGAAACAGAGAAGAAAAAATAAAGGGGGGGGTGTAAAAACACCCAAGCAGGTTTTGCTAAAAATCAGCAACACAGCAACAGAGCCAGAGGCTGAACTCAGGAACCCTGAAAACTTCCCCCACATGAGTCTGACAACTTCCACTGTGGGGAATTAAGGCAAACTGGGTAAGAGGGAGTGATATTGATTAGTAAGCAAGACTGATTAGGAAGTACTGACATTATAGTGGGTCAAAAAGAGACAATATAGGTAAAGAAAAGAAAGAAAATTAAGGATAACAGATGAAAAATGCTGAAAGGTACCATCAGAAAGGAAGAGTTTGCCTCCAGTAGGTGTATTTGCTGCTGCACACGAAGGCCTGGCTGGCAGGCTGATGCTGAGGGAAGACAACTCTTCTCTTTACTCCTCCATCCATCCCAGCCCCTAATGACATTTGCAGCTGCCTCAAAAATATTATTACAGAGCATTTAGTAAAACCCAAAAGGGAGCTGTGATCAGAGTCTTGAAAAGAGTCACTTTAAATTCTGTGTAAAGGTGTTGTGACTGGCCCAGAACTGGACACCTCACATCTAGGTGACAACCAGCAGCTCCCCAGTGGAGTCCAGCAGAGCCAACACAGCTGATTCCCAGGGCAGAGGTGGGCTCAGAACAGGAGACTGGAATGGACATGTGGGACAAGAAGGGAATGTGGAAGGCAGCAAGAATGGGTGTATCTGACCTCCTGAGCCCTGTGTGCTCTTCCTGAAATTGCTAAACATTCCAATAAGCTGAAAGACCAGATGAGACGTTTTTCCCTGCTGTTGGCCTATTTTGCATCTGCCTCAACAAGGTGCAGACACATCCTTTACCTTTAAAATACTAAAAGCTTCAGATAAAACCACCTCCCAACCAAACCCATCTTCCTGACTACCAAAACCCCTCCTTCCAGGGCTCCTATAAACCCCAAAGCTGTCCAACACTTTATTCCCCTATAACAGCATTTATCAAAGCTTCAGTTTTAAAATTGTCGTGTTGTGAAACTGCTGCTGAGGGGGATAAAACAGGACCCTGGTCTCAGCAGTTGCACCTATGCACGTGGAGAGGGACCAGGCAGAAGCCCAGCTGGTGGCACTGACAAAACTCATCCCTCCACCACCACCATAACAGATGGATCCACCCAGCAGAGGGATGAACTCACCCCCACGTCCTACAACAGCTCAACATCAGCACGAATCAAATGAGAATGAAAACCCACACAAGAAAAAGTTGCTTTTCTTTTTTTTTCTTCTTTCAAAGTTGCTTTTCCTCAGCACCCAAACCTTTTGCATTCCACTGCCCAGCCCCAGCCTTGGAAACAGCCAGCAGCTCGCCACACCCTCCATCACTTGACAACCACAGCCAGGGACAGGGACCTGCACCCCTGTGTCCTGAGGGGGATCAGAGAGGCAGAGAAGGGGCATCAGGAGCTGCGGGCGCAGATCTGCTCGAGGTGGTAGATCTCCTTGGGACAGTCAGCAGAGAGGATGAGAGGTGCCTCCTCTGTTATCACCACGTCATCCTCGATGCGCACGCCGATGCCACGGAACCTCTCTGGGGCACTCAGGTCATCCTCGGGGATGTAAATCCCTGGGAGGAGAAAGGGAATTAAAGCACACAACACCCTCCAGAACAACACCTGTCCCTCACTGCACCACCACGAGAGCACGGCTGGATTTTCAACAATATCACATGAATTTGATCCTGAAAATCTTTAATAAAGCAAGCCACTCTCTCGCCCCTCACTCCTGGCAGTTGGTGGGCAAAGGGAATGTTCCTCAGCGCCTACAGACACTAGAACATGAATAAAAACTTCCACCACTACATCTGGGCTTTCCACACTTCTTGTTCTCAGTGCTACATTCACCACGATGACTTAACAATGTTCTGAACAGAGAGAGAAAAAAGCCAAGCACTAAATATCAGTTTCTAGCTGACAGCTCCAAATCCAGTGACAAGCGGAGATCTTTTATCTGCTTTATATTTTAGCAGATATCTTTTTTTTTTTTTTACCTGGTTCAATGGTTATCACCATGCCTGGCTGGAGCGGGAGCGAGCGGGATATATCTGGGGTATCATGAACATCCATGCCCAAGTAATGGCCCACGTGATGTGGGCAGTACTTTCGAACAGCCTAAAAGACAAACCAAGTGTCACAGAGGCAGTTAAACACAGCCACACTTTGGTTTCCAGCTCTGTGAGCTTTCCTGCCCCAACCCTTCCCATTCCTTAAACACCCAAGCCCTGCATTGCTCCCCTCAGTAGACACTGAGAACCACCAGCAGCTGCTACTTGGTGTGGCAAAGAGATCTACACACAACAGAGCAAATGCTGCCCTGGCTTCACTCAGCACCACAGCAGGATCCTGATCCACCTCCCCGGGGTGCCGACCCTGCTTTCCCCCACAGCATCCTAATCCCCCTCCTTCCAGAGAAGAGCTCCTTGGCGACAGGAATCAAAGAGCTAATTCCTCGGGTGGGCTGGAGCTGCAGAGGCTGGGCTGGGCTCCTCTGGCTGTGCTGCCGCCTGCCGAGAGACAGAGCAAGAGCAAGAGCTCCCCGCACAGGCCCCTTCGGTAACCCCGCTGGTCACACCCGGCAGGAACCCGCCCTGCTGCCTGCCAAAGGGGCAGTTCCAGCACCCGGCTCAGCCACCTCTCTCCTGGTGGCACCAACAGCCACGCAGCTCTGCAGCGAGTGGGATCACAGAAACCTCTCTCGACCACAAGCCACCCCTGTTTTCTCAGCAGGTTCAGCTCCAAAGGCAGAGCAGTTTCCCAGTCTTGGTTACCAGGTTTCCCTGTGAATCCCCACACCGACACAACATGCTGCAGAAGAGGCAGCAGGTAGGATGACTGAGGACAGGCTGCACCTTTTGGTGGCATGACAGATTTATGCTATGTTAAACAGATCACAAAAATATGGCTAGCTGCCTGCAGCCACCCTGGACTCAGAACTTCACCTCCATAGATCCCTTCAGACTGTCCTCTAAAGGTGCATCCCAAAATGGGGATGGGTCTGCAGAGTGTAACAGCAAATGCCAAGGAACAAATATTCACCCCACGTGTATGTAGGACTGGGTGGTTACTTCAGACCAAAATGTGTGCTGAACAGTTGAAACACAACTTCAAGTTTATCCTTCTCTGAGAGAAACCCAGCCCTGTGCTGGGACCAGCCCACAAGACAAACTGAAGCACAGGGTGTGACAACCATTAGAAGATACGTCTCAAAAGCACGTTCCTGAGCCAAACTGAAGCCACTAACACAACCCAAAGAGAAAACAGTCAGGCCTAGCAGGGGAAAGCTGGAGTAAAAACACTTCAAGTACCTTGAAGAAGTGGCTCTCAGTGACACTGCTCTTCAGGACCCCCAACTCCTTCAGTTTCTGTCCAATAAGGCTGAGCATGAGGCTGTAGATATTTTCTAGACTCACACCCGGGGAGCAGAGGCTCAGGCAGGACTTCTGGATATCCAGGACAGCTTGGTAGAGCTCTGCTTGGGGTTTGGTGAACCTGAAAACCATTGAGAAAAGGAACAAAGGACATTTCTCACAATTAAACCTCCATCCAGACCCTATTCTGGGGACAGATTCAGTTCAGTGTTGGAGAGGGAAAGTCAGAAAGGAAAGCAACTGGCTCCTTCTATGAAACACCAGACAAGGCACCCCTGCGACGTGCCCTTCAAAACACTGAGTAGGGGCAGAGTTTCTCAGCTGACAGCCTAACCCCAGGGCAAAGCTACTGCAGGAAAAAGAATGCACCTGAGCCAAAACAGAGGAATCAAACACAACCACAGGGACACCACACCAGCAAATTCACAGGTGACAAAGCCACGTACAGCTCAACCAAATTCTTGTTTCCTTACAGAGCCAGCCACAGCTGAGTGCACAAAAGCCCTCTCTGCACTTTAAGCATGCTGTAATAGCTGAAAATAGCAGAAATCACACACATTTGTGCAGGAATTAATGAGGCAGTGGGGAATACAGCTTCTCACACTGCAACTTACCTTCCATTGACAGGCCAGGTTCGTGTGATGTCACTCACATAGCAGGAAGACTCACATCCACCATCCAGCAAGACCAGTTCACCATCCTGGAGAATAACAGGAAAAAAAACCACCCTGTGGGTCAATCTGGCTATTAACCAAACTGATTTTTCTGTCTGAGAGCAGGAGAGGAGATTATGTATTTGTTTTTTTGCAAAGCAGCTGCAGAGATGTGAATTCCTTTTGCAGAACAACACCTCAGGTGCTCCTGTTTCTAAAGAGGCTGTTCCAGCTGGATTGTTTCTCTGCAAGGTAGTCTCTGATTATCCACAGCCTGAACTCTTAACACAATGATTTTCAAACACTTTGAAAAAGGCAGTTTCCTTGAACTATTCTGTGCTCTGAGACATCACTCCCAGTCCCACTTGGCCCAAACTACACCAGTGGCTCCTTTCACTACAAGTTCTCTGAAGGGTTTTAACAAGGAGTAACTCTAGCATGTTAATGGAAACAATAAGAAGCAGAATTTCATTGCTAGCACTACTTCAGGTGCTAGCTACTATCACCTGATGTACAGTGTACAGTCAAGCACCACAAACACTGACACAGCAGATAAACCAGCAGTGACCAGCTCTCACTATCCCCCTGAACACACAGCCCACCAGCTATCCATTTAAATTGTATTTTTAACTTTTTCAGAAGAGCTAAATGGTTCAATTCTTTAAGTAAAATATGAAATTCCAGCACCTGCCCTCTTCCAAGCAATTAAACAAGCTAAGTTAACAATTTATTGGCTAAAGGAATTCAGCCTGTGGTTTGATTGTCCAGAAAGTGCCTTATGTCATGCATCTTGTCCTCTTTCTTTAAAGCCGAGTCCACTAAGTGGTAGCCTGAATGAAGTCCAGATACCTTCCAAATTAGACACTTCGTTAGCCTATTTGGCAACAGGATGTGCAGGAAGTAGCACACAAAGGAAAAGAAAGAGTAGAGTTTATGGGTTTAACCTCCTACTTCACAGTTCTGAAAAAAAATAAGTGACAGTCATTTAACTGAACAACTTTAACAGAAGTAACTGGAGTTACATGAGCATGCCTGACCTTGGATGACAGTACAACAAAGGAGGCTTCTTTCTGCCAAAAGCAGCCTGTCATATCTTTTGTATGTCTGTCTCTGCAGATCATTTCAAGGTCTGCTGGCATGCCAGCCTCAAGAAAAGACAATGCTAGTGGAAAAGTTTCATCCTGCATTAAGACAGAGGAAAAATATGTTCCTCTGAAAAGTGAATTGTGAGTAGAGCAGTAGGGGAACAGTGCTCCTGAAAATACCCATCTGAATCCAAAGGTGTGTTGTCAGGAAAGCTGGAGAGGGTTCAGTTCAATAACATGAATCTTCAAAATAAGACAAGACATTAATTTACCTACAGCCATCTAACCCACCTTTCAACATTTAATGCTGATCCCTTCCCCCTTTGTTCCCCCCCTCCCTGCTTTGCTGGCCTGCCTGGAATCCAAAATACTTTTCAGCCTCTCCAGAGGAGGAATGCACTACAGCTCCTCTGTTGAAATGCAGGGCCAAGCAATGGGAGGGACAGCAGGAAACCCTCCCGTGGTCCTTTGCCCTGCCTGCTGCAACAATCCCTCTCTTTTGGGAGGTTAGCAACCCACCCAGCCCTGCAAACTGCTGCACACCACAGGGCAGCAGATGTGCTTCCTAAGGGGAGTTCTTTGCAAGCCCTTCCACTCTTCAGGAAATACTGCAGCAAATGCAAAGAGGAGAGAAAGAGACTAATTGGAGTGAGGTTAATCTTTCCCTGATATTAAAAATAACCAGGGCTAATAGAAGTTTCCTTTCCCTTGCTTACTTGAAAACACCTATTTTAGGTGTTTTGATCTGTTCCATCAGAACAAAGCATAGCTAGAGGACACCTAAGGGGTGAGTGTGTCACAGCACTGCATTTTAACTTGGTGGGTGGCCTATGGTTTACCTTGATGAGCTGATTGTTCTTCACATAGTGCAGAGTGTTGGACCTGTTGCCACCAGCAACAACAGGGGGGTAAGCCAAGATGTCAGCACCACGAGCCCGGCACTCAAACTCAAACTGGAACACCAAATCAGAGAGGAGGAAACTGTCAGCTTCCAGGCAGAGAGAGATCCAGGCAACCAGCTGCTCTGGGGCTGTTATAATTTATATCCCACAACTGTTTTCTTAATTTGTACAACGCAGAGTGAAACTGGATGGTCAAATCCTGCTGATGTTTCTCAAAGAGGCATCTCACTGCAATTCCCTACAGAATTCCTCACCAAAACGTGCAGGGCAATTAGTCTTTATTTTGTAACTGACATTTCTAGTTTCCTGGAAGGATAAACATCATCCCAATACCTCACCTCCAACCACAAAGTACTCACCTTTGCATACAGAAAGGCTTCATCCACTGGGGATTTGCTGGCAAACATTGTCTCTATGAAAGCCTGTGAAACAGAAGGACCTCTCAGTTAGCAAAGGAGCCTGAACTTGAGTGCAGTTCTTCTTTTACCTCCTGTCTTTTGAGGAAGGCCTAAAATCAGCTGGCCTAGAACACAGGAACCAGAGGCAGCTGAAAACACAGACTGCTGTCAAGGCTAGAACCAATTAAGCTCTGCTCCCCAAGAAAATGTATTTAGGGACTGATTAGTTTTTGAAAAAGGATTAGATGATTGAAGCTGATCCCATGGGCTGGCATTTTGTGAGTTGTCTCACCTGTGGATTCCCTCACATGTCATAGGGATACCTGATGTAGCTTTTCCCTAGAGAAGAATAAGCTGTGCCTGTCTTTTCTATTTGGCTATTTTAATAACATTTACAAAAACATAATTGCATTAGAGGCATCTGTCAGATTTGTTTCAAGTTGGACAGTAAGTTCAAAAGGTATTTGAGACAGAAGGGGGAATAGGGAAACACATACAGGTAACTTGTTCTCAAAAATCTTGTTTCATCAAAATGAACAGAATAAATGAGAAAGAAAATGGCATGAAGGACAGGGGAAGCTGGGAAGAGTGAAGAGGCTACCCTTGTTTATGAATAGACACTGCTTTTTGTTCTGGTTTTGGCTGGGATAGAGTTAATTTCCTTCTTAGTAGCTGGTACAGGGCTGTGTTTTGGATTTAGTGTGAGAACAATGTTGATAACACGCCGATGGTTTAGTTGTTGCTAAGTAGTGCTTATCCTAAGCCAAGGACTCTCCAGTTCCCCATGCTCTGCTACTGAGGAGATGCACAAGAAGCTGGGAGGGAGAGTGGCCAGGACAGCTGCCCTGAACTAGCCAAAGGGCTATTCCAAGCCATGGGATGTCCTGCTCAGTAAGTGAGCTGGGAGGAGCTGGCTGCAGGGGGCAGATCGCTGCTGTGTGGTGCAGCTGACACGCTGGAGGGAAGGGATGCCATCCAGAGGGACTCTGGCAGGCTGGAGAGGTGGGCCAAGCAGCTGATGGTTGTGCCACAGCAGCACAGTAACAGATTAGACCTAATCCATCCTCCCAACCCACATCACCCCATCAACAGCCCTCTCCCCTCTCTCCTTCAGAAGAATGCACTGGTCCGTTTGGAGCGCAGGTGACCCCTACCTCTGCTGTCACCCTCCCAGCTATCTTCATCCTCTCAATCTCTGCAGGAGACTTGACCAGCCGAAGGTTCTGCACCAGGTGTCGGATGCCCTGGACGTGGGTCTTGTTCTGGGCCCTGAGCTCAGCCAGGGGCTGGAGGTGGTCAGCGTGGAGCTCCGCATGCACCGGCTTTGCCGCGTCGTACCAAACCACACTCGACTCACCTGCAACACAAAACAGCAGCTGAGACAGACAAAAACAACTGCAGAAATGTCCTCCCCATACTGAACCAGCTCACTCCTCCTCAACTAGACCTGCTGCTGTATGTGAGACATTAATTTCCCCCGAATCTGCATTTACAGACCACATGGACGCTTTCACTGTCACAGGATACAAGCAAGCTCTCCAAAATCTGGAAGATGACCAATTCACAGCATGGAGATTTGACACATCCCCACCTCTCTGCAAACACTGGGTCTCACCATCACCACTGAACACATCTGCCTTGCACAGACCCATCCAGAGTTTGTCTATCAGAGTTGCACTTGTGTAAGGTAAGTTCCTGTGGCACTGCAGTGGTGCATGTTCCAAATTCTCTCCTTTAGCCTGTCCCCTCTGATGCTGTGAGCCAATTTACCTTTTACCCATGGAATCAGGGTCATTATACTTCAGAATATCTTTGGGGAGCAACAGCTTCTTTCAGCCATTCAGTGATGACCTACTGAAGGCAAACCTATTTACCTATGTGGGACTTTGTTTATAACATCAGAGTTTAGCACCCACATCCTTCCCACAGGAGCATTTTAAGTGGGAATGAGTGGAAAAGCCATGCTGAGTCACAGCTTATGTCCACCTAGGCCCTCATTCTCTGGTGACAGTAGCCATTAGCAAGGGCTTACAAAAAGTCTCTAAGAAAATGAGCATTTATGAAAGAGTATTTCCCTTACCACATCCTCCCCAATTAGCTTTCTTAATTTCAATGCTGCACCTTCATAGTGGTGATTAACTGCTTTTCATGGACCTCTCCCCCACAGAAATAAAAACTTTTAAATCCATTTATACTTTTGACATCCCAAACCTTCCAGGAAGGATGCACAACTTAAAAGTTGTCAAAACCTGCCATGTGATCATTTCATTCACTGTTCCCTTTTTCTATAAATAGCAGCTTATCATTCCTACTCATCCTCTCTGCACTTTCCATAACCATGCTCACTTCTCACACTTTACCTTCTGTTTTTTCTTTTCCAAACTGAGCAGGTTTGTCCAGCCTGTATCTCACACAAAATCCTCACTTTCAATCATTCCTGTTGCCCTTCCTGTGACTTTTCTATTCTCAATATATCCTTTTTTGAAACAAAATAACCAGAATCTAAAATGATATTTAGGACTCCAGAATTCACTCCACTTATTTGTGTAATCCCCAAAGCACTTGCCCTTTTTATATTGTCATAAGCCTTCAGCTTCACTTTATAATGCATTTAAGTTCACCCCAGATTATAAGTATTGAGGCTGCAGGGTGATATTAGACACAGATGAACACAACTAAAAGACAGCAGTGTTTGTATTTCAAGAGTAAGTCAACATCTAGCTAAAAAAGGGGAGTGGACTAACAACCTCCCTGCGTAGATAATTTTCCAAGTCGATCATGAATAAAATACCTTCACGTTTTCTATGTCTCACCTGGTTCTGACTCTGTCAGCAAAAAGACAACAGTGACACAGTTTGTGATGCTCTCTGTTCCATGCTTTTTACAGATGTGCACATTGGTCATTCACATGGGCACACAAGAAAGTCAGAGGGGAGAAAAAACTATTATTTTCAAACTACATTTCCACTGGTGAGCCTCTAGAAGCTAACAAGAACTTCCATCTGCCTTTGTCACACTGTCACAACCCTGCAGCTCCCCAATAAGTTCACCATAGTCTTGAACTGGTGTCTCAGACCATTCAGATGCTGCCAACCACACCTCATCTCATTCCCCCTCTGTTGTTTTTTTTTGTTACCTTTCAGCTTGGCCACCAAGTGTCTGAACTCCTCGATGGTGTAAGCTTCATCAACTCCAGTGAGAGCAATGGCTCCATCCGTGCCTGACCTGGGCCCATCCCACAGCTCCCTGCTGGGATCTCTCCGGGGCACAAACAGGATGGATTTGTGGGAGGGCAAAGCTTTTCCAGGAATGCTCTGCAGCACCAGGATGCTGTCAGGCTCCTGGAACCCACAAAGGTACAGGAAGTTAGTGTCCTGGTGGAAAACGTAGGGGATGTCATTGGTCATGTAGTAGGTGGGGTTGGAGAGCAGAATCACTGTGTGGTCCAATCCACCCCAGCTCTGGGCTTCCTTCTGGATCAAGGCCATCAGTTTGTGTCGACGAAGGGCATATTCCCCCTGGGACAGCCCTGGGGTCACCTCTCCTGTGAGCACAAAACAAACCAGATTGAGACAGTCACACCACTGGTGATAGTTCACCAGTCACTTGTGATTCCTGCCAGTCCCTGATGACTTCACTGGGTTCCTCACCAGCCTTCCCACTGCTCTTTCATGCATCTCTTCACCTTCCAGAAATCTGCTCCTCCATCACACAAAGACAGAAATTCATTTTAACCGGTCAGATTTGCTGTTATCTGTTTCTGTGCAAAAGCAGAATTCACAAAATCTGGGTAGGTTTAGATGAGCATCCAAAACAGATGAATATTTGCAGAGAGATGTAGAAAAAAAACAGGGAATGGACAAGACAAACTGAACTTTGACTGCTGAAAATTGATGGGGTTTATAGCACCTGGACATTGAACAGAAGATTGCCTCCTCAGGTTGAGCATTAATTTCCTCAGATAAAGCTAGAATGTCTACTCAAATACACACTGAGTCAACTCAAAAAGTAACCAGTTCCAAACCCTAAGGGGTGGATTGACTGCTACAGGTCCTGGGAGGGGAGACAGAGGTTGCAGAGTCTCACCAGTCACAAGACTTCAGCTGTGACAAACCACAAACTTCAGGCTGGCCTCGGGCTTGGATTAAGAGAAGGAATTTTCTTTAGGGCAGATGTAGCTTTTCTCAATAATGAGCATTTTGTATTTTTCTCAAGTGAAATGCTATATTCCTAGTGACTCTAAACAAATGATCTCTTAGATGAAAGTGGATACGAAGTGCAGCAATCAAGCTACTCACCAAAACCAGACTGAAGCTGAAAGAACAGCCAAGGACAGCTGAAGTATGTATTTTTAAAAATGTCAGACTCCTTAATTAGGGTTTAAATTAACACATAAGCCTCATTCTGTACTTTGGCTCATACCCTGTTTAAACAGATTGCCTCTTCACACTGCTAACTTCCTACTTTCATAATCTTTTCTTCCTATTTAATTCTTGTGCAGTGGCAATCCTAGAAGAAAAACTGAAATTTGACTTGTACTGTAAGTGGATTTTGCATGGGTGGAGTAGGAGGAGGAAACTCTATCCAGCATACTTTTTGTCAGCAAAAGAGAATTTAAGAAAATCACATCTGTTGTATTTGCATTAAACTTTCACCTTTTCAACACCATACATCCCCAAGACATATTTAGTGTAAAAGTCTTTTTTTTTTAAGAAAATTAAAACTACTACTACTCTACTCTGTAGATCTAGAAATGACAGAGAACACAGAAACTGTTTTAATCCAATCACACATGTTTCTGCAATATTATCCTGAAAATCTCCTATTTTCTCTGTTCCATTTCAGTCAGCTTTCCAACTACCACAAAGAGCCCAGTGAAGTTTAGAAGCTGCAGTAGGGTGGAACATGGGATTCCCAGTTGTTCTCTTTGCCCTGAAGGCACTTGCTTTTTAGAGCAATAATGTCAATAAAACAATGTTGTATTATTTTAAAGAAAACACCACTCCTTTATTCAATGGAAAATGACTCTGGGCAGCTAGAATTAAACTCCAGTGCTTCAGCTGTCAGTTCTGTTGGTGTCAGCCTCATTTATTGTGAGCTGCTAACCAGTGCTCTGAGCTACCTGATCTAACATTGAAGTTAGCTCAGCTTTGAGCAGAGGGTGGATCTGATAACTTCCTAAGGTCCCTTCTGGCCTGAATTATTCTACAATTAAATATATAAGTGCATGGTTATATATTGATCTGTTTTCTCTACAGACCTATCTATGGAAAGAGAACACAGAACCAGAATGTTTTCCTGGATATAACCTTGAATATATTTCTACTTCATTTTTTTTCAGATTTAATCATGGTCATCTCTTACCTACATGCTCATTTTCATTAATATCATAAAACTGCACCTCAACTTCTCTTTCACCACTATCTTCTAACTTCATAGCTACAAGTCTCTTTTTCTTATTTGTTTGTTTTTTTTCTCCATAGCTTGAATACTTTTGTGAAGGGGGCACCCTCTTTAGAGAAGTGCCTTTCAACTCTCAGTGAGCCTGTTCTCCTTTTCTGAACAACACCTTTATTTTGTGACCCACAGGCCATTAGAGATGAAGTGTTTTAGCAGTTCAGCTGGCACAGAGGGCTCCCCCTTAATACAAACTGTATTGTACTTGCAGGACAACGAGCTCCCAAGATGCCACTGCCATGAAAGGTCTGCAGTGCCAAGGCCAGTGACACCAAGCACTCCAGGAAAGGTAAAAAGTTAACATCTGAAGCCTATTTTTGGAAACAGTATCATATCAGACAAGGAAATTAAATGCTAAACATAATTGCTGCCTAATGGAGTTAATAACAAACAGGTGAAACCATGGATACTTTTAAGATGCAGCAAAGCAATACAGATTTCTAGACATCTCAGAAAAATCAGAGGCAAGGAAGAGAACCAGTGAGTGGCTGCCCCTGGGCTGAAGCTGACCTGGTTTGAGGAGGTGGGGGTGAGTGAAGGGGCTGGGCTGGCCCAGGTACCTCCTTGGAACCACCTTCTGCTGGGCAGGCTGGAGGGAAAACCTTCGGAGAGCACACAGCTTGCAGGCTAGAGAAGAAATGCACAGTGTCAGGGTCAAAGGCCTTTCCAGGCAGCAAACTGCAGATCCATTGCACCCCCTCTTAGCAGTCCTTCACCTTACACGACACCAATACCCCTCCTGAACCTCCCCACTCGTGCTGCACCAGAACAGTTTAAGAACCAACGGGCACACAACTCAACTAACAGCCAAATATTCATCAAGCAGATTGAGAGGAATTCATATGCTACATCTGACAAGGCAGCAGGAACACCCAGAAAGCAAATGCTGGTTTGCACGTGCCTGATTTCTGCACTTGATGCTCCCCCCCACTTGCTTCTCTCAAACACCCCATGGCCTGAAGCACAACATCTTTACATCAGCTTTTCTTGACTGTCTTCAAAAATACCACTCCTATGGAACATTTTGCTTTTCAAGGGCTCTACAGGTTTTTTTTTCACTAACAATACCCCAAAGAAGACATCAAAGACCACAGGTTCATACCATGATGGAATTATTTTTCTCTATGAGAGCTACAGGAGTCCCTGTTTATGTATTTAATTTACTTGACAAGGGCTTTAGCCAAACTGAACACAGTGCTCAGAAGCACAGGGTTCTGTATCCCTCTTCAAGTCCACACACAGCCAAAGCAGACGAGTTTTAAAGAGGATTACAGCTGTGCACTTGGGAGCTGGAGTGGGCATGACAAGACAAAAGCTAAAATTAAAGATAACTGGCAGAAAATTCAGCAACTCTGGAATTCCCACTCAGAGCCTTTTGCAGCTGAAGAGTTGCTTGTGAATTCAAAGAATCACAGAGTACAAAGCACCAGACATGTGGAAGGAGATGGCAACTGATCTCCTCACATCTAGCAGGTGATGGTTTGGAAACTGGTTCTTTTTTATGTCACTTATCACTCTGAATTCCTAGACCAAATGACAACCACCTCTTTGCTAGCACAAGCAAGTCCAGCACTGGCAGAACAGCAGCCTGTCTTTCAGGGAGCTGAGGTTCAGGGACTCACACACACAGACTGGATTTTCTGTGGGAGCCAGCATGATTATCGCTAATTGAAGATTACTTATGCCTGACAATTGATAGTCATAACATCAAGCAAAACGTTCGGTGTGTGATGATTGACTGAAGTAGCAGCCTGGAGACCCAGGCAGGAGCAGCTCACAACGAGGCAGTGGAACACAACGGTTATTAAAGCGCTAAATAAAGCAGTATTTTGAAGACAGCAAGAAGCTTTCCACATCGTTGTTTTATTTTCCAAGTAACGAGCCCTCGGATTCAACCATGTTCTTCCCTCGGATTCAATGCTGACCGGGGCTGCGGTTTCGCTGCCGGACAGAGCCGCCTTCCTACCCCCACGGCGAGGCGAGG